ACTTGTGGGCCACCGTAGTTTACAAACTAACCTTGTCAGTGCTTGTGATCGTTTCATCGTTTGTATAATTATATATGTATTATATATTCCTTCCCCCACAAAAGAATGCAGTTTATGTTCCATATAACACATAAAAGAATTAAGCGTACTTGAATTAGTGGAAATGCTAAGTTTGGCTGCGAAATTTGGTAGAATACGGAAAATATAGCCATGTCAAATTAGCATATTTTGTATTACGCGCGGAAATTGTAACTAATTTAGTTACAAACTTTTCCCATTCCAGGTTTTACAGATTCCGGCTTTTCCCATTCCTGGTTTTACAGATTCCGGCTTTTCCCATTCCTGGTTTTACAGATTCCGGCTTTTCTCATTCCTTGTTTTACAGATTCCGGCTTTTCCCGTTCCTGGTTTTACAGATTCCGGCTTTTCCCATTCCTGGTTTTACAGATTCCGTCTTTTTCATTCCTGGTTTTACAGATTCCGGCTTTTCCCATTCCTGGTTTTACAGATTCCGGCTTTTCCCATTCCTGGTTTTACAGATTCCGGCTTTTCTCATTCCTTGTTTTACAGATTCCGGCTTTTCCCATTCCTGGTTTTACAGATTCCGGCTTTTCCCATTCCTGGTTTTACAGATTCCGGCTTTTCTCATTCCTGGTTTTACAGATTCCGGCTTTTCCCATTCCTGGTTTTACAGATTCCGGCTTTTCTCATTCCTTGTTTTACAGATTCCGGCTTTTCCCATTCCTGGTTTTACAGATTCCGGCTTTTCCCATTCCTGGTTTTACAGATTCCGGCTTTTCTCATTCCTGGTTTTACAGATTCCGGCTTTTCCCATTCCTGGTTTTACAGATTCCGGCTTTTCCCATTCCTGGTTTTACAGATTCCGGCTTTTCTCATTCCTTGTTTTACAGATTCCGGCTTTTCCCATTCCTGGTTTTACAGATTCCGGCTTTTCCCATTCCTGGTTTTACAGATTCCGGCTTTTCTCATTCCTGGTTTTACAGATTCCGGCTTTTCCCATTCCTGGTTTTACAGATTCCGGCTTTTCTCATTCCTTGTTTTACAGATTCCGGCTTTTCTCATTCCTGGTTTTACAGATTCTGGCTTTTCCCATTCCTGGTTTTACAGATTCCGGCTTTTCTCATTCCTGGTTTTACAGATTCCGGCTTTTCCCATTCCTGGTTTTACAGATTCCGGCTTTTCTCATTCCTTGTTTTCAGATTCCGGCTTTTTTCATTCCTGGTTTTACAGATTCCGGCTTTTCTCATTCCTTGTTTTACAGATTCCGGCTTTTCTCATTCCTGGTTTTACAGATTCCGGCTTTTCCCATTCCTGGTTTTACAGATTCCGGCTTTTCTCATTCCTTGTTTACAGATTCCGGCTTTTCTCATTCCTGGTTTTACAGATTCCGGCTTTTCTCATTCCTTGTTTTACAGATTCCTGCTTTTCTCATTCCTGGTTTTACAGATTCCGGCTTTTCCCATTCCTGGTTTTACAGATTCCGGCTTTTCCCATTCCTGGTTTTACCGTTCCCGTTTTCCTCATTCCTTTCCCCGATTCCCCGTTCCTTGTTTTACAGATAGCCATACACTAATAACTAAATATACTAGGAGTTACTATCGCAAGGAAAATGCTGCCTTAAAGACGTATAAACTTGATGCAAAATTGTATGGTAAATGAGTACTCATACAATTTTACGTTTAATTAAAGTCTTGATGTGCGTCATTGGTAAAGGTAGTGACGTACAGTCATGCTATCCATGAGTGACGATACGAAGCCAGTGCATGTCTATATAGCTAGTGGTCTATAAACCAATACGCGTGGTCTTCTAGTTTTCACGACAATTTATTACATAAGAAAATTCTTAATTAGAATATATCAAACATGATTGGAATAAGAAATTTTTCTATAGGAAGTTTGTCCTTCGAGACCTCCCGTTTTCGAAGTATAATTTTATATAAATAGACCAAGAAAAATAACATTACCCATCACACATTACATTACATTACATTATATTACGTTATATTAGTTTACATTACACATCACACACGTCACATTACATATCAGATTTATTACATTATATCACATTACATTAATTAACATTATACATAACACACGTCACATCATAACAAAAAAGAGGATAACACTGTATGTGTTTATTTTGTCTGAGGTTTAAACTACGAATGCTTGAAAACAGTTCTCTTTAAGTTCTTCTTATCATATTTAGTATATACCATTAGTTCATATGGATTACTTGATGAACTGTTCGTTAATCCCATAGGTTAACCTCTTCTGGAAAGTGGTAATTATCGTATTGCACCCTAAAATCTCTTCAATATAAAATTGATTTATTGCTTGAGAATTAGTTTTTTTCTTTCTTTGATCAATGTTTTTGTAGTAGAACACTGTCAATAACAAATTAATTAACGTTATTTGGAAATACCAGGTCCACGACTCTACATGAATTTGGTTAGGTTGTTCAATGATAGCACAGGAGTGACAGATAATAGTATAGTGTACACACGTCTTTTCTTGCATTAATCTATAACTCCTTTTCCACGTAAAATAATGTTTCTTCACTTTCCTGCAAGAATCTTCTTCGAAAGATGAGTGCACATCATACTGTAGTTGTATCGCGCATTCATAGTGTTTTCGTTATTGACTGTCATCCAATTGTTTGAACAGGTTAAATTCCAATGTTTTTGGCAAACAGTGCGAACTAACGCGGTTGTATTTGCTAATCCACTTGCTCTTTCATATTTTTATCCAGAAGTAGGTATCTACAAGACAAAAGAACATAATTTTTAGAATACACTACAATAGCCCTAGCCCAATGAAATGTCGTAAAGCGGGAGTGAAGTATAGAAACAAAATAAAAAACTTACCGTATATCGTCTTGATGATGATATTTTCACACATACAGTGACATAATTATAAAATTGATTAAATGACATGCAAAGTTACAGAATAAGGTTAACACACAGAATAAAGCGTAATGGGATCCATAACAGAATCCCATGTCTGATTTCAAACTTTATGGTTTGCCAATTTAAAATGCACCGTTATTGGTAGTCTGTGCTAAACGATCTAGGCGGTTTTCTTCCTCAAGCCTGAATTGTAAATTAGCTGATGATTTCAAGCTTGTTAATCGTTCATATGTCATGGGTTCAATGACGCAAGATGAAAGCGATCTCACTCTGCTAATGGCAACGTATGAAACTCCAGCAGTTCTTTCTGATTTGCCAATATCTATCCAAGCTTTTGGAAGAGTAAGTCCTTGGCTCTTGTGTATTGTTAGAGCCCAGGCGAGTCTTAGAGGCAACTGTTGCCGCTCATGAAAACTTGTTTCTGACTGTGATGAGACTGTGATTGGACACACTGGAACACAAGATGGTTTGTTCACATTAAAAACAGGACCTCTGTAGTTCTCAAACTCAATAATGACTGCAATAGGCAAGTCAGGTGGTTGGTGGTTGTTCTGATAGACAATATCAACAACTGTTCCAGTAGCTCCATTACAGAGGCCAACACTTGACCACAAATTCATGGTTAACATAACCCTAGCACCTTTTGCTAGAAATGTAACAGGTTCCAACCCAGACATATCATCTGATGAACATCTTTTTGGCCAATGGAGAGGAATGGCGAGCATTAATATGAGCAATTGGATCCTCAAGTTTTGTTAGTTGTTCATTATTGTAATTTGCAACTTGTTCATTGCTATAGAAAGAGTCTAGTAGCGTCTTCAAAGTCGCATACGTTAGTGACATTCGATGGTTGACGAGTTAGAAGTAATTTCCAGTCGTCGACTGTTGACTCACCTTTGCGAAGTCGTAACAATAAATCTCTGAACTGTATTTGTTCAGATGTCATACCTTGCACACGTTGATTAATAGTGAGCTTAACAACTTTGTCAAACATAGAGTATGCTTGATAACCTTGTTCGCCAACAGAATTTGATGGTTTAGCATGATAAAGAGGCTTGTCTGCCACTGGTGGCAATTGACCTGGATCTCCAGTTAAAATCAATGATTTTCCACCAAATACTTTGTCATTATAACCAGTTGCTTGTTTGCAACGCTTATCTAACCAACCAAAAGTAACTTGGCCAAGCATTGAGTATTCATCAATAATGATATATTCAATATTATTAACACTCTCTTGTAATCTACACAGGCTTTGTCCTGTTAGATCTTTATTACCTCTTGACCCTATAGGCAACTTTAACAGAGAGTGCACAGTTACACCTTTAATGTTATAGGCTGCTTTACCGGTGGTAGCAGTAATAGCACATTTACTTTGCAAAAGATTTCTAAGAGCATTAATAAGGTAACTCTTACCCGTCCCTGCAACACCATTGATAATTAGACATAATGGCTCTTTTTCAGATGATGTATCGTCAAAATGAGACTTGACAATGTCAAAAGCAAGTTTTTGCATTTCACTAAAACTGTTTACGTCAACAACATCATATTGCTCATTAATAGTGTATTCCTCTTTGTTTGTTTTTATCCATGTTGGCATTTCATTGATTTGTTGTTCTGAATAATTGCTTCTATCAAGATGCCAGTCATATGTTGATTCTGGTGCTTGTTCAGGGTTATCAAAAGGAGTGTGAAGGTCTGATAATATCATCCACTCTTCTCGAGTTACGTCCTGTTCTTCAGAAGGTCCATCTTCTGGTTCTTGACTTTGGATAACAGCTTGTAATTTGTCAAACCAGTCTGGAACATTAGATTGTCCATAGGGTGTTTGCAAGAATTCATGCCAAGAATTGATTAGAACCTCGTCAGTTGGTTCTTGGTCACCCCACGCATTGTTTTGCGTTGTTCTCCAGGGTTTATATCTCAAAAGTTGATACTTACAATATAGTCCAAATTTAGGACCTTTGGGATTAGGAGAATAAGTTGGGAATATTCTAGGTATAACATTCTCTGGTAATCTCGTCAGTTCATTGTTAACAACTTTATAAGTTGTAGCAAATTGAAGAAAATTCATATTCATAATATTTTGTGAACTGTCATATTGCTCACGATTAGCGTACACATCAAGAAGTGAGTAATCAGTGCATGAAGTTCTTCAATACTTGCAGTGTCACGTACTCTACGTGAACCATTTAAACTAACTGATATCACTTTAAACGATGAGCTATGAAGTTTTAAAGACAACAAATGATGCATTGTTTCCTGAGCAGCATAATCTCGTTCACCAAGAGATCTCATAACTATTTTCTTAACAGCTCTGTGAGGATCAGTGTTGCTGTCAACATTTTGCATAATAGAATTAAAAGCCTGTTTCAATAAAGGCGACCTTGGTTCTCCTTTAGCTGCATATTTTGTGAGATATTCAACACAAGCATAGTGATCGATAACAACCTGAATATCACAGTTTGCTCTCCATCCTTGGAGTTGAAGTTGTTGGTGATTATTTAACCTAGAATCATTTCGTTTAGTCACAATTTTGGCCTTATAATGTTCATTATCACCTGAAGTGTGGATTTTTTCAAATTCTAATTTTGTCTGTGGACAATTATCAAATGGGAAATGAAATCTACATTTCAATTCAGTCTCATTTGACTTTTTTCTTAGACAATAGCTAGTACTACAACGAGTGTGTCGTTGAACCATATTTAACAGATCTACATAATCTGACTGTTTCTCATGTTCAGGAATGTCAATATGACTTCTTTGACATGGATGAGTTTCAGGTCTTACCCAGATGTTTTCATCTGGTGGATTTGGATTGACAGTTGATAATAACCAGTCAACATACTTACACACTGTTTCAGCTGCTTCCTGACCAGCTTCAATATCATTGTCTAATTCTGTTGTATCAGAACAATCATTCTCATCTTTAAATTTTTGAGCTAAGAAACCTTTCAAAGCAGTTTGAGTTAGTTGACACAAACCTGGGTCATTATTTAGTTTAGCAGTACCATGACAATGAATACTACCTCTACCTTGGTATTCATATCTAAACCAGTGCCATTTTGCTCCAAGTGTTTCATAAAGCCATGTTTTACAAAGCTTTCTAATCTTTGGGTAAAAAACCAGTCTACAAGATGTGGATTATTAATAACATTTTGTCGTCTGACTTGACTGGAAATGTCAGCATTTTCACTATTACTATTAGCATTAAATAAGGCATGTAACTCAGGCCAATGCATATCTGCAGAGGAAAAAGTAAAAAATAATGTTGGTGCTCCAACATTTGTAATGATGGCTTTAAGTTCCTCTCGAACTGTATTCCAGTAAGCATTTGTACCTGCAATATTCGCAACGTATCTAGAAACTTTAGACATGAACACATTAGCACTATTACTGGCAGCCATTTCACGCAGTTCATCAATGGTGAGATGTGCTTCACCTGGATTTTGTTTAAGGAATATTCCACTTTGCTGTAAAATTCGTTTTCTTTGTATCATATTAAAAGCCCAGTATGAAAATCTAGGGTGATTTGCAAAACGGTAAATCCATTTACCATCAATAATTTCAGCAAATTTCAAAAGATGTTTAATTCTATCTTGAAAAGGAACATCTCTTAACAGGGCTTGATTAGTGGGATCCCCTTTCCCATCAGGAAACAATGTTGGAAAAGCCATAGTGGCAAGGTGAGATATCTGATATTCGTTTAATGGCTCATTTTCAACAGTAGGCCAGGCAATTGGGTCATTTGCAGAAAGCTGATTTCTGACTGCTTCCAATTCTTGTTCCTGTTGCTGACCAACAGGTAAAAAACTACTCATTTCAGTTGAGTCATTATAACTCTATCCTCTGAAGAGTTTTCAGTGGGAGGGCCTAAATCAGGTTCACTATTATCATCTGAAATTTCATGTTCAGTCTCAACAGTTAATAGCTCTGATGGAATACCATCGTCAGGTAAAGAGTTTAATGCATTTTCATTAATTTCTAACTCAGCATAATGATGATTGTTACGTATAAGCCACAATAATGCATTGTGTACTTTTTGTCTAACAGTTACATCTTTAAATGTATTATCTTTACCTTTGACCTTGACAATAATCACAGATAACTCCCTGGGATATCTCGGTAACGATGTTGCAAGTTCTTTTACTTGTTGTGGTAAGTTGATACAATGTCCTGAGTAACCTCGTTGTCCTCCGGGTTTTATGTAAACTCTCATGATTGGGAGAGCCCGTGCAATTAACATTTCCTCAATCTGAGTCAAATCTTGTAACTCCTGTGGGATTGGAGATGGGATCATTGAATTTTGAAATGAAAACTTTTTGGGAGATTTCTTGTCTCTAGAACAACGTGAGCACACATAGTTGCTGGGTGACTTTGGTTTAGATCTTAATGGCCATGCCTCTTGGCAAACTGTGCATTGGCTAGTAAAGTATTGTACAGACTTATGGAAATTTTTTATATTAACTTTTGCCCAATGTTGACTTTCAATACCACCATTTTTTTTGTCAAATACTTTCAAATAATCCTCCTGGTCTAAATTATCTTTTTCAGGTTGCTGATTAGTACAAGATACTTTCGATAATTTTAATTTTTGATAGTTTTTAGCATTTTCAAGTCTTATTTTTTTTTGAACTTCAGTCTCACTTGACCGTTTTCTTTTTTTACATAGAATTTTCAAGTCTGATCTGTTTTTCTGTTTCAGTTTTTCTGCTTTTTTTTTCTTATACTCTGTAGCTTTTTGTAATCTATTTTGCTTCATAGATGCAGTCTCTCTACATCTTTTTTTATTACAGCTAACATAAAATCGAACTGGAACTATTTCAAATAAATTAGTCTTTAGTTCAGTTGACAATAAGCATAAATAATTTTCTAATTCATTGAGACATGAAAATTTCATAATAACAGCAGTACCATTAGGATCTGGCAGGCCAGCAAAATTTCTAGCATGAGAGTCAAAAATATAAAAAATGAATCTAGACTTTTCATCAAAGCCATCATATAGCCCTCTAATATTAAAAGAGCATACTTGTCATGCATGAAAGTTTTAGTCAAAGCTGAAGTAAGTGTATAGTAATGAGGTTCCACTTTATGCTCATTTCTTACAAGTCCTTGACGATCTTTTCCATAGTTTATAAACCAAACTTGAGTAGAGTATATTCCTTCACTTTGCACCACAATGGGCGGATCAGATATTTTGTGCCTCGATGGGCGCCACCACAAGGGGTGGATCAATGATATTTTGTGCCTCAATGGGCTCCACCACAATGGGCGGATCAATGATATTTTGTGCCTCAATGGGCTCCACCACAATGGGCGGATCAATGATATTTTGTGCCTCAATGGGCTCCACCACAATGGGCGGATCAATGATATTTTGTGCCTCGATGGGCGCCACCACAAGGGGTGGATCAATGATATTTTGTGCCTCAATGGGCGCCACCACAAGGGGTGGATCAATTATATTTTGTGCCTCAATGGGCTCCACCACAATGGGCGGATCAATGATATTTTGTGCCTCGATGGGCGCCACCACAAGGGGTGGATCAATGATATTTTGTGCCTCAATGGGCTTTACGACAGTAGGTAGATCAATGACATGTAATTTGAAATGTTTGTCTGTTACAAACGAACGACACTCAATGAAGGAAGGTAAATCCTTCACTGATAGAAAGCTAACTGGCGGAATCTGCCCATTTCTTAAAGCCAATAAATACATATTGTCGCCTTGCTTTAAGACATTGTCGATTGTTGTCGAGTTCCACTCTAATGGATCTGGGATATTTCTTGCTGTTAATAGAGCCGATAAACTCATAAAAGAGCATTGTCTTCCACGAGAATGAATACTAAATTGTTCATGTCCTTGATGAATACTCCCGCAAACGTGTAAAGACATTTGACAATTGTGATTTATGAACTGAAGTTACTAAACAGATCAATACTAAATACTTTACAAATAGTCAAATACCTGTGCTAGCTGTGCATCTGAATTTCAGTTTCTTTACTTTAGTAAATACGTCAGTCACGTTGTCCGTCTCCGATATATTTTGACACGATTTTGTGAATTGTGAATGCGCAAATTTCGGACTTAGCCCAAAAAGCACTTGTGTCCAGTTACATATTGCGGTCTGTTACGCATGCACGTAACAGACCGCGATATGTAACTGGACACAAGTGCTTTTAACAGGCCGCAATATGTAACTGGACACAAGTGCTTTTTGGCTACCTAAAGGAAGTCAGGCGAGGATGCGCCATAAAATTATGCTGCACAAAAGCTTTTTACTTTATACAGGCATATTATTTCTATATAGTGTGAAGATAAGTAGTAGGGTGTGAATACTGGTGTGAATATACCTTTTAAAGATTTCATTATATGAAAGGTACATGAATTTATTAAAAAGAGGGTGGGACAGTGTCAGGGTGCTACATGTCTAAATGATGTGTAAACTTGAAATGTTTGCCACCTCCCAACATTTACTTTGAAGGTGAGAAGATGAGTACAATGCACTGTGATCATATATATAGGCATGTGCATTTTGGCTATACCTTTTTAACCATTGGGTAAGTTCTAGTGTAGTTTAAAACATGCAATTTTGGGGCGGGGGGAAATCAATATCATGTTTAATATTAACATGACAATTCCCCATAAATTATTTTGCATTTTGACACATACTGACATTCACAATGAATAAAATGTTCTTTTGGAAGTTTATCTGGAAAATTAAAATAAACCATGTGTTCATAACCTCTAACAACAATTGAAACTACATATTAGTCTACTAAAATGTTTTAACCTCTTAAACCTAAATTTCAACAAACTATATATATATATTTTACTAATGTCTTTTAAGTTTACATCTTGTCCAATAAGTGCCAAGTTCATTATACTATATATGGTATATATACGAATGTCTATACCAAAGAACTTTAACAAACAAAACTTAATTTAGAAATAGGGAATGGTTATAAGAATGAGTCCAGTATTGGTCTCTTTGAATTCACTAAATAGAATTGAGTACATCAATAATTTTACCTTCACCAATATTATAAGTAATTGTAATATTGTTACAATCTAGCAGTCGATCTGAAATGGCTTCTTCGTCGTCTTCAGGCGTGATTTGAATCTTATTTACCTCCAAGATTCTGATGAACATGGTGTGGAAAACGGTGACGTAAAACTTTTCCTTTGTTTCAACATTCTGTAGAAACAGCCGAGCATTTGTATTTTCCTGTGATACTCGTTGCTTCATCTTACATGACTCGCACCTGACAGTGTTCACTGTGCCCTGACCCTCAATCTTCTTTCCACAGGCATTGCAGGATTTGTACTTACTTAGGCTCTTAACCCCAATGATGGACACAACTGCCTGTTTTGCAACTAAATCAGTTATAGGTGGGCCAACATCTGGCAACTGTTCATGAAAGGAGGCACACTCTTTGACACTGAAACCATATTTTGCTGTGTTGACATAAACTTCATTTGTATAATTGTCTTTTTTCACCCTTAAGTTTTGGAATAGGTAGGTCTTTTCATCTTCAACGCTTTCGACCCATTCTTCCCAAAGAATGGCCTTGATTGTTCCAGATGGGTCTTGTAGAATGCAAGTACGTTTTTTAACTGAACCCGTTTCCATCTTCACCACTTTTAAGGCTGCTAAATGTTTTACCTTGGCTTTTAGCAAAATAAGCTGGTTAACTGATGTTGTTTTAATCACAGATATGGTAACCAATGGACTTGTGGGTGACTCTGTAGGGGCAAAGGAGATTATGAAACTGTTGTAGACTTTTTTATCACAATATTGTTAAATTTGTCATTGTATTCGAATCTTTGAACTTTTACTGGGCTTCTATTTTCCATGGCCTTTCTTAACGGTGCAACTTTCTCTGGCGAAAAGCAAACAGCTTTCACTTTTGTATCTGGAGTGGTTTGGAGGTTGCAAGTTGTATAATTAACTTAGCTTTCTGGATGGCCAGAACATCATGCACATAACAGACGATCTCTTTTTCTAAAATTAAGTAAATAATTGTGATATGTAGCTCAATCAGTATAAAAAAGGGCTGAGTTGTTGTTTTCATCTGTTTGATCCCTAATAAAATATATTTGTTATTTAAAATGAATTGTTAGGTTTTAGTTTTATGCACATCAGTCAGCACAATAGCAGTTATGCAGGTTTTCCATTATGCTATATTGTCATTATGACCAAGTCACACTTTAATGCACATACAGTAGAACATATTTGCATTAAAGTAAGATTTGGTTGTAAAGACAATACCAATGTTTTCAATAACACAAGAACAATCGTCATAGCAGGCTGTATTTCAAAAATTGACATTTGTGTGCAAAAATTTCAAGTGAAAGCCAAATTTGAATAATAAAGGTCCTAGTAATAGCATAAATGAAAACCTGTAGGCAGCCCAACAATCCGCTCGCCATGACATATAATCTGTGTATATATTATATATACACAGATGATATATGTCACGGCATGCAGATTGTTGGGCTGCCTATGGTATAACTCCTTTTGAATTCAACGGATACACCAGTCAAATATAAAAACTCTCCATGCAATCAGCCCATAATAGTACTGTGAAGTAAAGTAAATAGATTGAATTCTATTATAAGTAGAAAACGTTTCTTACTGTTTTCCATGATGGCCCTCAATTTCAAATTATCCTAAAAAAACAGTATACAAGAATGCATAAGAGGACGAAGTCTAAAACTTGAACACAGTACAAGCAAAGCTCTAAAGGCTGCTATTTAATATATGAAGTACCAAGATTGGTATTTTAGGATGCCTAAATCATAAAACATGGCCACGCTGTATAGAAGATGTCTTTTACAAACGAAGTCCACGAAGGGTAGTAATTCTGAATATCTTGCTTCAAAAAGAACAAGAAAGAAGAGCAATTGAATGACTGGTTTGGGCATGTATTTCAGCACGATCGAATCGAGATTAAAAGCAGTTGAATGAAGATTCGCGAAATATTTCAGGAAGTCTAAAACTTGAACACAGTACAAGCAAAGCTCTAAAGGCTCCTATTTAATATATGAAGTACCAAAGTTAGTATTTTAGGATGCCTAAATCATAAAACATGGCCACGCTGTATAGAAGATGTCTTTTACAAACGAACAAGAAAGAAAAGCAATTGAATCACTGGTTTGGGCATGTATTTCAGCACGATCGAATCGAGATTAAAAGCAGTTGAATGAAGATTCGCGAAATATTTCAGGATGGTCGAAACGGGCCGAAAAATATATAATATAAAACATGATGCCGTATACAAGACGCCCCTTTTGACCTAGTGACTGTATAAAGATGGCCATGCCGTATACAAGATGCCCCCCCAATTTTTTTTTCTTTTTTTAAAAAAATACAGAAAGGGATAGTAATTTTGAATGTTTTGTTTTACAAAACAACAAAAACCAAAAGCAATTGAACGAGGATTGGCTAGATATTTCAGGATGGTCGAATCAAGACGAAAAATATGTAAAATATATGAATATGGCCATGCTGTACAAGACGCCCCAAACCCAGGCATATACGAAAAAAAATACAGTAATGGACTAATGGGTAGTAATTTTGAATATTTTGCTTCAAAAAACAACAAAAACCACACGCAATTGAATAAGGATTGGGCAGATATTTCAGATGGTCAAATGGAGACGAAAAATATGTAAATATAAAACGTGGCCATGCCGTATACAAGATGATCCACGATATGGGCAATTCTCAAATACTGTATTTAAACTTTAATTTAATACGCCAACTGGCAAGTCACAAACATCTATAAAGATGATATAAAATATTTTTACCAACTCACCTCTAATATGCCTATTACTGTAAAAAAACCAACTGCCTTCGCCGCAACCAAGAACGAAAAGGGCGACTGGACGACGGCGTGGCAAAACGAGCGGGAAACGGGACGCACCCCCGAATTCTCATGTAAACTTTATGAAAAACTCCCCCGGTTTTAAAATCCGGACAAATAAAATTTCGAGCGACGACTTTACATAACTCGCGCGTGTGGACTGGGGGCGAAACCACCGTTCGTCAAGAATAGTGTGCTGCCTCGCTGGGGCAAGGCAGCAAATACTGAAATAGAGATGATTGACATTATGTTGACAGGACTAATTAAGGATGTATAAATAAGAGAGTATTGTAGAAGGGTTAAGAAATACAAGATTTAGAATAGAAAATCGATATAGAAAGAATATTACAGTAAGTGTTTAGTAGTCATAGTAGCACTAGGTACCGACATTGAACAGTACACATGTATGCATTTGAATACACTTTGCAACAATCAATGGCAATACTCCTAATCTGCACAAACCACACTTGGCAGACTGATTTATTTCAGGCACTATTCACAACACGTATAATGATATGCAAAGTTAAAATTTACCATAACAATGCTCTGCTTGTGATTGGAAGGAAATAGCCACGTGTGTTAGACACGCGGAACATAAAAGAAGGGCGTGTAACACAGATTACACCATTCATGCTCAGTTTATACGCCAAACAAAAATGCAAACATCGTCACAAAAGGTGGGAGATCACGGCCACTCCAGTCATAATATTTCTTGGAAACCAGTTTTCGATGCTGAAGCCCCTTCACAACCTCTTTAGATTCTGCAGTCTGAGGAAGCAATAAACGCCTGTGAGTTGCCAGCATTGACCGAGTTCGTCATCCTGTCACAAGTTGAGCAAGAGATGATCCAATATCTTCAGACGATTTGTTGCGATATTTTAGCAAACCTTAATTCGAATGGATCTTTATTATCTGCCGCAGCCTTTCTAAAAATACGCCTCCCTGTCTGCACGGCTCCATCAGCCTCTCCGTTTGATTGTGGATATTCTGGGGAGCTGGTTACATGTTTAAAACCCCATTTTGTTTTTGAAACTCGTGTCAATCACAAAACACATTACTGGTGAACAATACTGAGAACCATTATCACTCTCAACATTCTCTGGTACTCCAAATCTAGCAAATGTTTTCTTTAAGTCGTTGATTACACAACTCGCAGTACTTTGGCGAAACAGTTCAATTTCAAAGTATTTTGAATACAAGTCCGTTGCGAACAAGTATTGTTTTGTAATATCATGTGCTTGCTGAAGTGTACGATCAGGTTCTTTTACGAAACACTTGCTGTTTGACAAAACAGCACCAACTATACGGGCTATAATAAGGGATTTTTTGAGAAAGCCGAAGTCACACGTTAAAGCAAGTCTTTTAAGGTCACCAACAAAACGTTCGATACGCTTACCTTCCTGCTGATTACGGCGATTAAACACAAACCTTTCATGGATTACATTCTTGGCACCTTTACGCAATTCTTCAGCTTCAACTTACGGCAGTAAGAACTTTAAGATTTTGTATACATTGAGCGTGTCTGATTGGTTGTTTTGTAGTTGATCTGATATGAGCGGTAGTTGAGGGATGCGTTCTCATAGTTGACTGATATAATTAGACTCCTCAGGAAATTGTGTATTTGGTTTGAAATAGCGAGGGGTTGCTGCATGCATGTCTTTCTAGTATTAACGATATTATTGATAAACTGTAGTCTTAAGCATTCTGCCATGTCTCTTTTAATTATAGGTATCCGTTAGCCCTAAATTACCTTCACTTCCAGATTTTATTTCGCCAAACGTTTAAGCAAAAGCGCTTTGTGAGGACGGGAATAACTAATTAAACTTATGCACAGGGAAAAGTAGGGTTGCACGTGGTTGATCGACACTTTGACAGAAGCACTATGCACATTGCACCATGCACAACCATACATTCGCGGTTCTCTGTGATCCAAGTCAGAAAGTTAATTCAAATCAAAATTGTAAGCATTGACATATTTATTACAAGGTTATATATTTTTGTTTTATAGCACCGCAAAAGGAAGTGGTCTCCATCTACAATGATGAATTCACCACTCCGCGTTCAAGATATCCGTATTTCATTGAAGTTTACCGTTGCGTTGAGGTTAGACGTTCGCTTGACTTAATAAGATGTCTTCACAGCTATCCAGTGCAAAAAACGATGACACAAATCGAAATCGTGGTTCCAGATCTTACCAATAACGAACAGGATCCTAACCACAAAAGGAAGTTTTATAAATATATATTATTGAATCACACCTCTTGTAAATGCGGCGAACTCGAAGAGAGGAAACTTTATAACACCTCATCAAACAACCTTGGTGAGTAAAATAAATTCGTTATGGTTGAACCATTCTGAACCCTAGAGCTACATAATCAATTTTTATTTATTATACATCAAAAAACCGTGTGTCACTCAGTGGCGTAGCCAGCCCGACAATTTAGTCATGCTATGCTAATATTTTGGTGTTCATTTACTGTGAAAACAATGAATTTCTAAAGAAATGAATAATTATAATAACATAAAATTTGCATAATATGACTAAATCGTCAGGCTAGCTACGCCACTGGTGTCACTGGTTGTTGCGTTGTTGATTGTGTATTAAACTGTATGCATATCTTTTAGTGTCAGAAAGCTATTTCTTGGAAAAGTATCGCCAGAATGCAAAGAATTTGCAAAGTCATCGTGATTTTTGCACCAAAACGCAAACAAGATATAAACTCACTGAAAATCATTTACTTGCTAAATCTTCTTTTAAATATTTGCGATACAAACAGTGCCTGCCTTTTTGCGCAGTAAGAACGAGTCAACTGGGGCGTGTCTATATATCTTTTGGAAACGGTGAAACAAGACTTGATGCTCTTGAAGATGATCTGACATGCGAAGCGTATGACAACACGGTGTCAGGTGAGGGCCCTTTTTGTGGCTCTGGAAATCCATTTGTACAAATGCAAGGTATGCATTTTATACGGGTTAGCATGAAGAAAAATTGCTTCGTTATATTATGTATTAACATGCAGCTTATTTTTAAAATCAAATCGAGTATCACTCCATTTTTTAATTTTACCGCGTTTAAAAAACACAGCACTTTCCCAGTTTTGCGAACATGGCGAATATAGAGAAAAACATGCAGCTTTAACCTAGTAGTATAAACGACCTCATACGCCATGACCATATTGCAATGGTGCAAGTGGGATATACGTATTTGAATGAACGGTGGGATAAATAAGCGTTTAAAGCCTAGAGCACACGAGGGCTATCAGCTGAGTTACAGGTTACTCGTGGCTCAGTTCGTGCGATTTTCCTGAGTTCTGTGCAACCAGTCCTTTTCTAGAGTTTCAAACGTGTTTGATCTTTTTTGCCGCGAGATGCAAAAATCTGACTGATGTAGAGATAAAAGGCTAATTTTTTTGTTTTGTCTTATGATAAAAAACGCGTGGATTGGTTCGTTGTTCGTTGCTTGATTGATTCGCGAGCTAGTATTGCTTACAAAAAACGTCCGCTAGAGCCTGTTTCATCCGCATAGGAATCTTAGGGCAGTAGACAAGTAAGAAAAGGAACCCGCTTAAATGGTTTTGGTCGAAACGTGGGTGGGTGGTTGCTCAAAAGAGATTAAGAAATTTTCAAGACGGATTTCCAACGATTTTCAAATAAAATTAACGAATGCAGAAAAATCGTCGGGGCGTAGGGGGAATAGCCCAGTAACATATATTAGATTAGAACCACAACAATACCTTCTTCGTTTTATAGAAATGTATCAAAAATTGTGCCTCCAGCTTCTGCTGTTGCCTCTCACACCAGCCTCGTTCCCGGGCGCTTTAAATAAAATAAAATATAGGAACACTACAGGCTTTTTACATAGATTAGTGGCTAAGCAGAGCGACCACGCAAGGAATTTTGGGGAGGACGCGAAGGAGAAATGGAGCGCCTGGCAGAAAATGCAAATATATTTTGCCAGAAATACCATTTCTGGCAAAATATATTTTCAAATCGAGCTTTTCGGCGTTTTACTCGTGCATTCTTGCGTTTTTGGTGGTTTGTGGCCATATGGATGACCTGGAGCAATCACTTGAAGAAGTTCCCATTTCACGGAAATATTTTTTTACAGAATTTGGTTGCATTTATGTAATATTTAGTACGTTTTTAGAGTAGACTGTCAGTGAATCTTTCGTGTTGTTCTTGAATATGCTAATAATAATATGTGTCGACCATATTCTGATGATAAAATTATCCTTGCAATAGCATCTTCAAGTTCTGATGATTTGGATTTATCGTCGCTTGGGAGACAAAATGTTCAAAGTAAGTCAGTTGGAATTTTATTCTATCTGCTGAGTACATTAAGCTGGTATATTTTCAATTGACATTAGAATATATGTATGCGCATGTTTCTATGCTTTCAAATGTCATACAGTATGTATATTTCAAATACTTTTTATGCATGTTAACTGGGCCAGCTCTGCCATTTAAACCTGAAGTTGACATTTACATTGATTTGCCTCACAGTATGTCTTTCATTTGTATGCCCCAACCTTCCTGTGTTTAACAGTAAATACTGTACACATGTTCATTGTAATATACCAATATACACTGTAATGTGTAAAATAACTCGACAATCTAGGAGATCATTTTAACTAGAATGAAACTTAACCAGAATGAAATTTAACCAGACTGTGTGCTACTTAGAAACTTCCAGCTATTTTATATAGTTATCTCCTGCTGGAGATGTTTGCTTGAATACTCTAAATGTAGTCTAGCAGCCAACTAAAGCTATCTTCTCTTGCAGATGGAAGTCTGGGTCAATAAATCACCATAACTCATTGAGATTAAAATCTAATTCAAAATATAGTTCATATACACACCATATAATAATTGTATTATACCATATTACAATTATAATTCATGTATGGTGTTGCACACTGTCAGAGATAGAGAGGAGGGGTTACAGAGATTGCTAGGCAATAATTATATTTAGCGTTCTTTGTGTTATTGCCATTTACATGCAACGCCGTGGCTTATGTTCAACAGGTTATGATATATATTTGTTTTTTTAAAACACCTTTTCAAAGACATCTAGAGCCTGATACTACCAGTCAGCAGTTAATAAAAGAAAATAGGAAAATATCCGCTGTCTCTGCATGTTGTTGAAATTTGAATCCAAGTCCAATAGGTTTGCATGTAAGTAAGCATTTTGTAATATATGTATTCAACTTGATACATAACCTCTTATCACATTTCTAATGAACTTGGGTGTTAACACAAAATATCTTTAGAATTTTTTAATGCATTAATGCATTATACCTACTGGCTACTATATTCTAGCATATAATTTTTAAGTGGCTGGCCAATGCAATAAAAGAAGGCACAGATTGGCCGCAGATTTGGAATGAAATGTGGAATATATTATGGATCCAAATGTATATGTAGAACAGTCACTGTTAATGGCTTCCCTCGATTTTTCCAGTGAGGAGAAAATATACTATCAAGGGACGTTTTCTAAATTCTAATAAAAATACAAAAATGATATATTTTAGAACTTCATAAGAGTTAAAATAAATGTATAGGTGCATACCTTTGCTCTACGATAATCAAATATCTTTTCCATACATTTTCTTGTTTCTTCATGTAGAATTTGCAAATTCGCATGGATTCGCCTTTTGCCCGGCTTGAAAATTCTTTATTTCGAAATGATGACTGTGCGATACCTAAACACTCGTGCATAAGATTTCCCTATGCATATATTTCTGTGTATCGCTCTCAAAAAGTCGGGCAGAATTAATATCTTAAAGCCTTGGTCAAACAAGAATGATAGTTGATGAGAGTTGATGAGAGTTGCAACTCTCGCTTGCGTTTGACCGCGAACTCTCATACACTCTTGTGCACTCTCATTAACTCTCATCGACTTTGAACTGGTTCAAATTTTGATGAGAGTTGATGAGAGTTGATGAGAGTTTGGGCGCGTTTGATCGGTCATGAGAGTTGATGAGAGTTGCAAAAGCGCCAGCGGTTTGCATTTCGTAGCACCCTAGTCTCTGACTAGTGACAGAACAATAGTGCAAAATGTTTGGAAAACTCTCGTGCAAACTCTCGCTTCTCAACTCTCATCAACTCTCATACTCGTTTGACCAGGGCTTAACAAGTTTCGCTTTTGCACTTTTGAATAATAAACAACAGTGAAATGAACTCATAAATCGTGAGCCACCATGTTGTATGCATTTTCTGCCAGGCGCTCCCTTCTCTGCGTCCTTCCCAAAATTCCTTGCGTGCCTGCTCAGCTTAGCCACTGATCAATGTAAAAAGCCTGTAGTGTTCCTATATTTTATTTTATTTAAAGCGCCTGGTAACAAGGCTGCTCTCACACTAACTTCAACTAATGACTAATCACTATTCACTCTTTCCGAGTGTCAAGTGTCTAACATGCAATTAAGCATTCTTCATTGTCTCACAATGTTTCATTGTTTAGTTGTGCAACGCCCGTACATAATTGCTTATATAACATTTTGCTTACAAAAATCGTCAACAACAGTCTTTTTATTATTATTATTTGTTAATGGCAACTATAATGATCTCACTCCTTGCTCCGATTTGTATAACTGTATATTTTGTTTCTCTATATTATATATATTACTTTTCATGTGCTCTGACTTTTTCTCGCTCCCATACACTTTCTATATTATTGTCTGTTTCTAACTGTCAATCAGTTCTAATTCTATTGTCCAAGCTTAATTATCTATAAATAGCAGTTATGTATATTACATCACCCTTTTTTTTAAAACAATATTAACATTTAACAAACATAATTCAATCATATACTGAATGTCCAAATCTATCATGCAGGTTTTCCTCTGACTCGGCTCGATCGTCGTGTCGGTATTTGATCTTGATGTCCAACATTTGTTGCTGCTGGTAGTGTGATGGTATTGTTCCTCTTTTGATGACGTTCTTTCTCATTATCGTCATCACTGTCCGTATCATCCCTTGGCTTTGGTATGCGTTTAAACTGTGACACATTTCGTGTGATAACGTGTCCGTTCTTGCTTCTTGCTTTAACCTGTGAATGCGATCTGTGTGTGACTACGTATGGAACGTTGTTGTAATTCGCAGTCAATTTGTTCTGCTTGTCCTGACGAACTAAGACATAGTCTCCTATCTTAATTTCACTCTCTTTTACGTTTCTTTTTTCATTCGCATATTCTTTGTTGTATCGCTGTCTTTCCATTTCATTCTTTTTAGCAATATTGTGTTTGTTAACAAAGTTCCGCTTTTTCAATTCTGGAAGCTTTCCTTTCACTGCACGGGTAAATAGTAATTCCGCTGGTGGAACTTTCGTGGAAGAGTGTGGTGTTGTCCTGTACTGTAGCAAGAAACGATGTAGCTCTTGCTACCAGGGTCTTCTTTCAATGTGAGTGGTTCGTAGCGTTTTTCCAAGGGGCTGCATGAATCTTTCCGCTTCTGCATTGCCCTGGGGCCATTTAGGTGTTGAATGAATACCTTTAAATCCAAGAGCTGTCAAATAGCGATTATATTCTGCACTATTGAAAGGTTGTCCACTGTCTGTCTTGATAGTTGTTGGGATGCCATGACGGGCGAACATTTGATCTAATTTGGGTATGACCGCAGAAGCTTTTGTCGAGCGTACTACTTCCACTTCGGGATATCTGGAATAGCGATCAATTGCGACCAGAAGGTATTCTCCTGAAGGAAGTGGTCCGTAGAAATCCAAATGTATTATTTCCCATGGTCCCTTTGGCATTGTTGTCGTTGATATTGGCTCTTGTGGTGGTGCTTTACCCACTGCTTGACAAGGAATACACTTCTCTATTGTTGCTTGCACCATTTTATCAATATTCGGAAACCAAATCTTTTCTCGGATTAATGATTTCGTTTTGGTAATGCCAAGATGAGTTTCGTGTGCAATGTCAATCGCACGTTGCTGTAGCGATTCTGGTATCACTATACGAGAACCACGAAGAACCACGCCCTTTGTTGTCACAGTAAGTTCGTCTTTTACTTGTTTATAAGGCTTGACTACCTCGTAGTGCCACTTGTTGAGCTTTATAGCTGCCCGAACTGCTCGTAAGGTTTTGTCCTTGTTCATTACTTCTTCGATTTCCTCTATCGTCAGTGCTTTCGGAACACTGGAGCGAGCATTAAAGTTTATATGCTCCTCTGTCATTTTCTGCTGTTTGTAGCTTTTTCCTGTTGGGTGGCGCGATAGATAATCAGCCGGATTGCTCCTGGCTTGTATCTTACTTGAAAAGCATAAGGTTGTAAGCGTAACACCCAACGTTCTATTCTTGCTGATGTTTTGGAGTTTCTGTTGCCGTAGATTACTTCTAGTGGTTTATGGTCTGTGATTAGAACGAATTCGTTTCCGTACAGGTATAGATCAAAATGTTCCACTCCCCAAATAATAGCCAGCGCCTCTCTCTCGGTTTGGGAGTATATGCGACTACTTTCTCGTCGTCTTTTCCTTTGTTTCTCTGCGAAAGGATTGCTGATATGCCGACTGGACTCGCATCAACCGTCACCAGTGTCTCTTTATTTTTGTCAAAATATGCCATGCACGATGCTGAAGCTAAGGTGGAAGTTAACGTGTTGTATGCGTTTTGATGAATGTCGGTCCACACGAAAGGTGTATTTTTCTTCGTTAATTGGCGCAATGGAGCTGTAATGGTTGCAAATTTCGGAATATACTTGGCACTGTAGTTTGCCATGCCGAGGAGAATTCAGAAATCGTTTTGGGTACCGGCGCGTTCTTTAAAGCTTCTACACGTTTGGGGTCAGGTTTGCTGCCGTCTTTGGAAAATACTTGTCCGAAAAATTCCAGTTTGTCATTCAAGAAGCTACACTTAGCTTGATTCAAGCGTAGTCCTTTGTCAGAGATTCGTTTTAGACATTTATTCAAGTTTGTGTTATTTCTTTCTGTGGTTTTGCCATATACTAAATGTCATCAGCTATATTCTTTACTCCGACTAATCCTTGCAATTGGGTTTGTAAGTGTACTGGAAAATCTCAGCAGCTGCATTGGTGCCATAGTTCAGCCTTTTGTATCTGAAAAGACCGATGTGTGTACTGAATGTAGTAATGTAACGACTGTCCTCGTGTAGTTCTAGCTGATGATAGGCCTGTGTAAGGTCTAATTTGGAAAAACACGTTGCTCCATTTAACTCAAAGCTGATGTCCTCAACTGTTGGAATAAGGTGTCGTATCCGTTTTATAGCTTCGTTGGCAGCGCGCATATCGACGCATATACGAACGTCCCCGTTCTTTTTCGGTACTGCTACAATTGGCGATACCCAAGGTGTAGGTTGGTTTTCTGGTACCCGTTCAATAATATCGTCTTTCTCTAGTTGTTCTATCGCGTTCTGGACCTTCTGACGTATGTGATAGGGAATTCGGCGTTGTGGCTGTGCTCGGGTGTTGTTGTTTTATCAACGTTTAATTTGATTTTCTCTTGCTTGAGTTTACCCAACCCGTGGAAAACTTTTGAATGTTTGTTTAGAATATTTTGGAGTTCACGATCTTTTGTTTCAGTTACTTTGTTAAGATGAAAACTTACCAGGCCAAGTTCCTCTGCTGTTGTTGCTGATATTAGATTTCCGCTGTCTGTCGTTTCTGCGACGTAAAAAGTTGCCACTGCAACTCGACGGCGAGTCTCAATAGCTTCCTCAAACTTGCCAATGAACTTTACTGGCTTGCTAGCAGTATACGCAAACGCTTTTATGTTCGTTTTTTTAATTCTATTCCTGGTATTTTCTCATATGTACCTCGGTCGATGACATTGATCGTTGCGCCTGTGTCTACGGTAGCTTTGAACGATCGTCCGCATACTTTAACATTGACTTTGGGGGTCTTGTCATTAGAAACTGTGTATAGATATTCGTTGTCAGAACTGTCCGTCTCGCTCTGAACTTCATTTAGTGGATTTAGTGGTCGTTTGTATTTCTGTTTCGGTTTCATTTCATGTTGAAAAGCTTTTGTCTGACGTTGCATCTTTCCTCGACACACTCGAGCAAAATGGTTGAGCTTTTGACATTTCCGACATTCTTTACCTTGGCATTGTCCTTCATGAGGATACGTACCACTGCAATTGTGACACGTTTTCGATGTTGTTTTCGATGATACTTTGTTAACACGATCTGTATCTGTGTTTTTTGATTGGATGTCTCGCGCTTGAAATGTACTCATCTCGGCACGGCGACCATCGATGCATGAGTATTGACTTCAGATCGTATGTTGGGTCTCTTAATGCCTTTTTTCGAATCCGTGAAGATGAACCAGCCGTAATAATTTGTTTTTCGATTTCGAAATCTGCGTTGTGGAAAGAGCAAGTCTGTGCTAATGTCCGTAGTCGTGTATGGAATTGATCAAGGGTTTCGTTCGGTTCTTGTTTCGCTTGTCTAAAGCGGTAAACTGCGCAGTTTACCGCGTATCGGTGATTTTCTTGCGGTTGGAAGTATTCGTGTAGCTTTGTTTTCGCAGCTTTGTAATCAGTTGCGTCTCCCGTATCAGGTATTTGTCTAAATATCTCGCGAACCCGTTTGCCAGCTTGATATAATAGCAATGCGCGTTTTCTTTTCTCATCCGTAATCCCACTAGCGAGGATGAACATCTCGAAATCTTGGATCCAAATGTTCCAGCGCGTGCCTAAGCTTTCGCCAACATCAACGTCTGGATTAAATTCTGGCAATGGTTGTAGTGAAACCGATTGCGTATTTACTGTGATATTTTCTTGTGGCTCGGCTTGTCCTTCAGCCATTCTCGTCGCCAAGCTTAATTATCTATAAATAGCAGTTATGTATATTACAGCAACTTGTTATCAACCAGATTAAGATAGTTACCGTAATACTTCTCAACACTGAATTAAGAAGGATTTATCGCCTACCAATACGTCATTGTTTTTTTGTGTTTTTTTTTGTTTTATAGAGCTCCAAAAGGAAGTGGTATCCATCTACAATGATGAATTCACCACTCCGAGTTCACGATATCCGTATTTCATTGAAGTTTACCGTTGCGTTGAAACTGATTCCATTCTCGCACTAAATTATAATTCGTCCTGCTATCCAGTGCAAAAAACGATGACAGAAATCGAAATAGTTGTTCCAGATCTTACCAATAACAAACGAGATTCTAGCCGCAAAAGGAAGTTTTATAAATATATGGTATTGAATCACACATCTTGTAAATGCGGCAGACTCGATGAGAGGAACCTTTATAACACCTCATCCAACAACCTTGGTGAGTATGTAGAATATAGGTCGTTGTATCATACAATTTCGGTACTGACGCGCGGGATAGTAAACGAATGTACATTAATAATACTTTTTATTTATTTAAATTCATTTGTATATTTTATTATTTAAAAATAGTTATACACGGTAGCTTATCCACTATAATTTAAGAAAGAGAATTGGTGGCTTTTCATATCGGCGGTGTGAGATTTAATATATATTCACGTTACAACAACTAATATTTATATAATAATTGTACATGCACAAGACATTACTAAATAGTAACAGAAGGAAATTATTCCAAGTACATTATTCAGCACCATG